GGGGGGTTGTGGAGTGGAGGAGAGGGTAGTTTTAGTAATTTTTAGTTATAGTTATAAGGCACTTGCAGAACAGTAAGACCATGTAAGTGCCAAGAATTAGACGTGCTACAAGAGAGTAACAAACACAAAAAGAAGGAGAAGAGATAAGGACAATACATGATTGATGAGTGAGAAGGGGCAAACTTCACGTGAGCACCCAACAACCACACACGAGTGAGGAATGGGGGAGGAGAGTGGGGTGGGGGGAGGAGTGGGGAGGAGTGGCGGAATGGGGAGTGGAGGGTGGAGAGGGGGGAGAGGGGGGAAGAGAGGGAAGGAGAAATGAGGGAAGGCGGGATACATGAGGTGAACCAACAAACCTCTCGTGCAAAGAAAAAAAACGGTATTATATCGACCGACGCGCGTGAGTTGTGCCGGTGCGTGCGTACGTGCGTGAGCCCATCCTACTCTGTGTGAGTAAAGGAATAACAAAATGATTGGGTCAATAGAGCTTTTTCATCCAATAATAATTATATGAAGCAGTGTGGTGAAATCAGACACTCGTCAAAATAATGAAATTGAAGAAACTGACATTATTCCACCAGTTTGGAAATTTGTACTGATTTTTTACATTTTGGGCTCTACACCTTTTTTGTCCATTTCAGAACACACTATGTCTGTTGTGGGATTTATTGACAATTAATGTTGTTTAATAGAAACAAAATATATAAATTTTCATTTTCCACGGACTCTCAAGATACGGAAATAACCAAACTTCGGTAGTCAATTCCTCACTATATACATATATATATATATATATATATATATATATCCCTCAGAAACCAGGCGACGCACATCCCCTTCAATCATAAATATCTCGACTCGTATTCATGATAGAGGAGTATTTAAGGAAAAATCAAAAGCAAGAAAAATGACCAAGTTTTAAGGTGATACATACCAATAACTCCAAATGCCCAAAATATTGACGAGAGCCTGAGTCTAATGTGTCCTGACACATGTGTTACCACACTGTCATTTATCACTAATGTTTCATGTTTTAGATCTCGATTTACGGCTCTTGCCACTGATATCCTACCAGGTCACGTAAGTGCCAAAGTTGAGAGGTATTTAAAAAATCTGAGAGTAACATACACACAAAAAAGAAGAAAAGGAAAGAGAGATGACGACGATAGACGTCTGATAGATAAGAAGGAATAAACCACACCCGAGCACTCAACACCCACCCACAGATACTACAAATTAAAAAAAACATTGATGATGTTTTCAGTCGTTATAACTACATTTCTCAATTACGTAACATTCCGTTTAATCATTTCCCCCCATAATCTGAATAGAAAATTGTGATTTGTTTGTTTGTTTGATTATTTGTTTGTTTGTTTGTTTGTTTGTTTGTTTGCTATCATTTTTGTTGTTGTCTTTTTTATTCATCATAAACATTGTTCGACTAAACCTTAACAATGACGACATACCAAACAGTGACATTGTTTGGATAAACCCGGATGTAGAACATACCAAACAAGACGGTTTTGCAACTTCAAAACGTCAAACCAAAGAGGCTATTCCACTTTTTTAAAGTAACATAATTTTATTCATTGACGTAAATCACATAAAATGAACGGAAGAAATAGTACACGTATTTCTTTGACGTTGACCTGTGTTTTGTATGGCTGTATTAGTCCGCCCTCTATCGTACTACGCCTGGGCTTTCCGCTTGAAAAATAAGAAGAAAAAAAGAAAGAAGCATGCGAGTCTGTTTGTTTTAGTAAGGTTTTACGGCGCTCGCAACTGCTTAAGTCATAATGAGCCGCAAGGTTTGGATGTCAACAGAGAAGTCTAAACGGGGAATCTGGCTTACTCTGCTCATCTCTCTAGCCTCAACAGCACAAAGTCTGCTTCGACTATCAAGACACCACGCAAACAGCAGTTCATGGGGTCTGGTACCCATGATATTTGTTTCGTTTTCGTAAGAGTTTTACAGCACATGCAATATTAAAAAGTCATATAAGTGCCGAAGATTAGAGGTTTTACAAGGGACTTACAAATACAAAAAAACCCAGAAAAGATACGGACAACAGATGTTTGATAGGAAAGAAAGAGCGAACCACACCAGAGCACTCGCCAACCGCCCACTCCCGTGATCTCCATCCAAAATGTCCCTCACAAAGCTGGCTGGGGCTGACGGAAGAGGGAAGAAACAGTCTGTCTCAAAAGAATCTTACATGGTTTCGAATTAGACCTAAAGGAGTCGGATTTCTTATAGATGTAGGAGTGACGTTTGTTTTGTTTGGGTAAAGAGAAGCACATCGATATAATAATAATGGTCATTTGGCGCTAAGAAACTGTAAAGCAGACAGACACTTTTTTCTTCTTATTTGAGTAAAGAGAAGCACATCGACGCAATGATAGCCGTTTAGCGCTTGGGAACATGTAAGACACACAGACAGACTGAAGCAACAGAAGAAGGAAAGTAAAGAAGCCGGACCTACCAGTGACACCCCCACCACCCGCATTGTAGGAGTAACACAAGTCGTAAAGGAGTAGGATTTCTCATAGCAATTAGAGTTATACAATTCGTAAAGTAGTAGGGGTTCTTTTACATAGCAGTGGAGGTTATGCATGTCGTAAAGGAGTAAGATTATTTTACAGAAGTAGGAGTAGTATAAATCGTAATGGAGTGGGATTTTTTGCAGCAGTAGGAGTAGTATAAGAAGTCGTAAAGGAGTAGGAGCTCTCATAGCAGGTAGGAGTTAAACAAGTCGTGAAGCGGTAGGATTTCTTATGACAGCTGGAGTGGAATAGCCAAACTGACAAAATGACAGACATGCGCAAAAACAGATGCATGATGTACCAAACAACACAACGCGTCAAAGACACACGACATTTCACAAAATAAAACAATACTTCACTAACACGTGACATTTGACAAAACAACACATAATACGTCACTTACACACAATATTTGACAATACAACACACAATACTTCACTTACACACGATATTTGACAATACAACACACAATACTTCACTTACACACGATATTTGACAATGCAACACACAATACTTCACTTACACACGATATTTGACAATACAACACACAACACTTCACTTACACACAATATTTGACAATACAACACACAGCACTTCACTTACACACGATATTTGACAATACAACACACAACACTTCACTTACACACAATATTTGACAAAACAACACACAACACTTCACTTACACACAATATTTGACAATACAACACACAACACTTCACTTACACACGATATTTGACAATACAACACGCAATACTTCACTTACACACGATATTTGACAATACAACACACAATACATCATTGGAACACGACGCCTCTGTTAATCCCAAAGCAGAGCAAGTAGTTAGATGTGTTTTTTACTCCCACATCGACACAATTGAGATCATTCAGGAAACCGGCTTCCGACCCTGCCTATCACGACCAACCCGGCCTTAGAGGGGGGGGGGGTTCAACATTCCAGCAGAAAGACCTGGATGCATGTTAAAAATTCTCCCCACTCGGGAATCGAACTCGGGTCTCCTGCGTGAGACAGTGAAGCGCCTAACCGCTACACCACAGGTGCCTGTAGGAAGCAGTGTATAGTTTAGTTTTAGTAAGTGTTTTACGTCACTTGCAACACAATAAAGTCATATAAGTGCCGAAGATTAGAGGTGTTACAAGAGAGTGACAAACATAAAAAAGTAGGAGGGGAGATAAAGACGATAGATGTTTGATAGGGAAGAAGAAGCAAACCACACCAGAGAACCTGCAAACCACCCATTGGAAGCAGTGTGTCCCCCTAACTGACGAGAGTGGATGGTGAGCTTTCAAGAACAATCCACTGCCAGTTACTGTAAGATTGTGTTTTCTTAAACTAAAAATCAACGAGATTGCTTTTTGGTGGTTCTTTCTTTGAATAAAGAGAAGCACATCGACACAATAATGGTCATTTAAAGCTGGAAAAAAGTAAGACGGACAGACAGAAACAACAGAAGGGAAGTAAAGAAGTATGTCCTACCAGTGGTACCCTCCAACCACCCAATCTTCCCCTTGGCGGTGTTGCCACAGTATTGTTTTATATTTTAGTAAGCGTTTTACGGCACTTGCGACACAATAAGGTCATATACGTGCCGAAGATTAGAGGTGTTACAAGAGAGTAACAAACACAAAAAAAGAAAGGAGAGATCAGGACGATAGATGTTTGATAGGAAAGAAGGAGCAAACCACGCCAGAGCATTGTCACAGTAATACACAAACGAAGAACAAATTCTCTGTTTATATTCATCCACTTGTATCCAGTTACTTCCCAATATTTGAGTTCGGACTAACCACAAACGTGTTACATTCAGACAATACGAACAAAAACTCAGAGCAGCAGAAAGCGAGACTATAGACATGGGTCTTTTTTCGTTTTAGTAAAAGTTTTACTGTTTACAGCATATGCAACACAATAACGTCATAAATGTTCCGCAGATTAGAGATGTTAGAGCGAGTAACATACACAAAAAAGAGGAGAGATAAAGACGATATAGATAATATATATGTTTGATAGGAAAGAAGGAGCAAACCACATCACCTCACCCACCAACCGCCCACAACTAGAGACAAACAGACAAACAAACGTGACGAAATGGAATCTATCATCGGCCTCTACCACCTGCACAACAGAAGGAATGTCTGGCGGTGCAGACATTTAGATCTAAACAACTGTCGTTAAATACGCACCATGTTTGGACGGTTTCGATAACCCTTGAGACCGTGCAGAATGTGTGTCCACTACTCCAGACAGCAGGAGACCACTGGTCACTCGTTTATTCCACACAACCAGAATGAGTCACAAGAAATCCGAACCACATTTGGTCGTGCGCCATTACGAGAACTGGAATCTAGGCAGGAAGTCACGGGAGAAGCATGCGTCTTCCGGTGTGAAAACTAGAAAACCACACAACACACTAGGATCTACAAAGAAACATCACAGACTTTGGGTAGGAGAATAGAACCTCAAGATGCTACTTTTTGAGTATAATCGCCAATTGACGTCATAGGACGTATGTCTGTATCATGTATGTATCCGTGGGACTTCCAGCCTCGGGACTGGAGGATTTGTTGGAAGCTGGAGGGACGACTCCAGGGTTCTTTCGGGGCGATTATAATTTCTGGCGCGGTGCCGCCATTGGGGAGATGGGGGACGGGGGGAGGTAGGTGCCACCATGGGGAGGGGTGAGATGGCTGGGCGGTCGATGGGAACAGGCGACTGGCGACTCGCGGACTGGGAGAGAGAGAGAGAAGTGAGGGCGTTGTCGAGGGGAGTGGGAACAGAAGGAAGGGGGAACCGAAGGGAGGGGAAGGGGGAGAGACAAGTGGAGAGGGAGTGGGTTGATGGAGGTGGAGAGGTATATGAGTGGGAGG